TTAAATTTCTATAAGGGTAGAACACGCTTATTTTGTTAAGAAATAAAATACTATATAAAATTTAACGCGATACAAGTAACGACCTACATATGCTTGTGCAAGTTTGAACAGCACTGGTGTAAAATGGCTTACAGAGTGTTTTATTTATTGTAAGGCTATTAATTTGAGCTAACCGGGACTCAAAAGCGAGTGGGTAGCATTCGGCCATATGTGGTTAATTCGCGCTTTCCACAGTGACTCATCTGCATCCTTTAAAATCTGGTAGAATTGTTTGCACATTAAGTTCAAACTGCGTACCAGCGTCGACGCATCCACGAAAGAACATATATGAAGAAATATCTGAAATGCAGCACAATAAAATAATTAAACATACATCCAAACAAATGTTCCGGAAAAGATGGAGGATGGAGACGAACGAAAGAGATAGTTATTGACCGTCGCTGTGCTCTATCGATTACTGACTGCACACTTACTGTGCAACTATATTTTAGAATGGATTCAGATCGGAATGTTTAGTTCTTTCCTAGATTTCTATTGTTAGAGAAAATGGAATAATTTTGATCGGAATCCATTCTGAAGAGTTCCATAATGCGTGTCCTGACGGACAAAATAACAGATTCTTCTTTTTCTTAAAATTGGCTCACATTTCCCCTCCAGATATAGCATTAGCCAATTTAATTCTAAACGACAATATATTACAAAATCGGTCCGATAAATAAAAAACGAAATAAAGGCGACTAACTGCGTTACCAATCTTCAAAAATTTTTCTAGATGAAACACGATCGAACACGTTTACATCAGTGGTAAGACTCACAAAATAATAGCTACAATTAAGAAAAGAAATTTTGCGCACGTGAAATACGAAAAAACATTTTTCTCTTTCTTATATAAACCTCCACCGAAAGACGCAGCAGTGACAATTGTGCACATTCCTTGCCGTCGTGGGCGCAGCTTGGATTCTCGTCATCCATTCTTTCTTGCACCGAATTTGAGTATTTTCATTCGATCTGCTCGCGACTGACCCGGTGGTTCAACGAAAGCGACTAAGGATGATGTAAACATGGAAGAACCACCATGAATCCGGTGCATTATACATCCACGTGCACCGCACATGAGCGATACCACACGGAAAAAAACGATATGGTTGCCACAGCCAGAAAATAGTAACATTTGGCGCAGCAATGTTTGTGGTTGTCACACCCACATTGATGGATCACTATACACCTATATATGGTTGGGACAACTATAGAGAATTGATATCAGTGCTAGCGCGGTGGTGCAGCAACTATGATATAGTTAAGACACCACATCAATGTGGGTGTGACAACCACCAGATATGACTGCGCCAATAAATGTTACTATTTATTTGGCTGTGGCAACCATATCGTTTTTTTTCGTGCAGAAGAGAAAACAAGTGATTAAATTTGCTTGTTTATTTAACAATCTTAATTAATGGAGTCCATCGAGTTGCGACATATAGAATTTCGACAATTGGAATGTAATGCGATATATACGACACACACGTCCTAGAGAATTCAAATTTTACGTTCATGGGCTACATAATTCGAGAGAGGCGAATCTCGGCGAACAAAAAAGGGATAAAAAAAGTTATCTGTTACTTGAATAAACGATTGGTATTTTGTTTATAAATGTTATAAATAAGCGTCTAGTACACGAAGAGTATAATATTTAAACATCGCCGTTTCTCGAGTGTGCACGCACACAGTATCTCTCTCTCATACGAGGAAATACGTTACATTAAAATATAACGCCTTGTCAGAAACATTTACAGAACAACAAAACGATGATACAATACGCATCATGCGCTAATGCAATATGCAAAATATATTTAAATGCTTATGGAACTTAACTATATAGTAACGTAATTTTCTCTTATGTTTTCTCTTATTCTTTGAAACATAAAAATCCCGACGTGAATACGCTGTAATTATAAGCTTAGCTTATATTTACAGTTATGATTAATTATCGCTCAGCTTATAATCGTAGGTAAGCGATGTTAGTAAAGCTGTTAATTACAGAAACGTATTTCCAACAAAACGATATCTACTTCTACTTTCGTGAAACGGTATCTATCACATTGCGTATTAGAGAGACGCATCAAAGCAGTATTTTGAGAAAGAATAAGATCACATATTACATATCAAAGCAATATTGCTATATAGAATAACTATAGAAAACGTATGGAAATTTTTTGTTCATTGATGGTTCGTTAAACACGTCGATTTCTCGGGCGCCATATGACGAGTTTGTGGCCTGCTACCACGAGAATGTCATTCAGATAGTCCGTCTGCAACATAAAAACACAAAATTACAATATCTAACAAAGTTCGTGCAATGTTCAATATTGCAAAATAAGAATTGTAAGAATGTCATCAATCTTATGAAGGCTGTGACCAACAGTCGGAAGACAAAGATAAAACCTGATTTCATAATTTATTAAATGTAAGTAAAAATTTAATATTTAACATTCGAACTGCCGATTGTCTTGCACTTTTCAACAGTATTTCTCATTTTATATGTAGACATTTCACGAATTTTTTCTTCAAAGTCAAAGATATGATATTTTCGGCAAATATCTTATGTGTGTAATACTCACGGTGCCGCTGCAGAGAAATTCCCTTTTTAAAAGTATGGTAGTGATGGGCTTTGGCGGATTCGTAGGGCTCAAAATTCTGACGATGGTACCGTGCAACGAGTTCCAACTCGTTATCAGGCATCCGTGCGTCAGATGTACTCCCGTTAACGATGGTAACGGGTACGAACATATAGCCTCGGTGGAGTAAGAATTCACTAGCTTGAAATCGTTCTTTGGATCTAGCATGTGCAACTTCGCCTTGGAGTCCCCGACGCAAACCCAATTATCCCGTCGCATACTCATGCACTCGGGGATCGCTTTATCAGGAATCTGAAAGGTACACCTGCGAAATCGTAATCGTGTCTCGTTTCTCGGTATTAAAAATACGGGATGACATTACTCTGATAGACTTCATAATCCGACCGGCTCTCTGATCCCAAACGGATACCGTCTCGTCCAAGCTAGCGGACAGAATGTATTCCGTGTTCATGGCCAGTTTAGTCACGTATTTACTGTGGGGTCGGTACTGGTAAATCGGCTTATTACTCGATCTCGAATCGAACACGTATATTGTCCCGCGGAATGAGCCGGTCGCAAAGAGGGCCTGCTCCGGACACGATGACACATCTTGCAACCCATAAACTTTGTCGCACTGTCTATGAAGATAAACCCGCATTTTTTAAATTTTATATTTTTATTAATTGAACTACATTAATTAAACTACATGTTTTTATTAATTGAACTACATTGTTATAGGGGAGACCGGGGCAGAGTCGTCACTACAATTATCTCGAAATCTGTATGTTGTGTGAACTCACCATTAATATTGTAAACACTACTTATGGTGCCCATGTAACCAACGGAGTTTAGTGAGATTACATGCCATGTTGTGATTTTTAGGCAAATGTGTTTTCGGAGATCAAAAGTGAAATTTTTTGCGCGTCAAAAATTTTTAATATTTTTAATATTATTTTCTCTCCGAATCTCGAGATAAGTGATTCTGAAGAGTAATGCATGCTGAACACGAATCCAGCAAAGT